ATATTTCAATTATTTCCGACGATTAATCTCCGACTCAGCAATTTTGTGATAACGTTTTGTGAAGTTAGCACCCCATACTTTCAATAATTGATTTTTTTGTCTAATTCGCCGGAACTATTTATAAATTTTATGGAGAACTCTAGAACTCTTTAGGGTGCATTCAGAACTCTAAAAAAAAATTGATTTTTTTAAAAATGGGGTGCCAACTTCACAGAGGTACGGTAAGCAATTACTTCCAAAGCTCGTGGAAAGGCCAATTTTGAAAATACTCGCAATTTTAAATTATTGTATTTCACAATTTATTAAACTGAATTTTAAATTATAAAATGATACTTGCCTTAAGTATTACTTCATTTCCGGACCAGCAGTAAACGTAAATTTGTACAAACATGCAAATAGTATACACCACCAAAGTCACAGATTCAGTTTCAGTAATATGTGATGCCAAATAATATACACTTGTACATAATACTATAATACTGCCAAAGAATTTGAACGAAAAGTGCTTGGTTGAATATAACATTTACCGTCTTAGCAAATCTGTAATGATTTTATATTAATTCTGCATTATAAACGATGAGAATATTTTCATTAATATTGACCATTTTTATAAATAATATATTTGAAAAAATATTCTAGCAGCTTTTTACTTCTTTTTGAATAAGAATTACATAATTTAAAATAAAATTTTATTTACTTTAAAAAATAAAATAATTCAAAATTAATTCATAAAAATATGTATTATTTTCTCGAGCTTAATTATCTATTAATTTTAAATAAACACGTCTATTACATTAAATTACTTTTAATTGACAGATCGGTATATTTTCGAATGTATTTTAAATAATTTTTTAACAGCATTTAAATAAATGCAATAAGAACATGTGTGACCAACTTGTAAATGCTAAGATGATGGCGTATATATTCCGATATTATTTCTTTTTTTTTATCTGACGAAGCTGATACATGTTTCAGGTATTTGGATGTCCTGTTGATTATTAATTTGTGAAGACGAGTTTCGAAAATTTCGAGCTGGGCGCATGTTTGCAAAAACAATCCAAAAACAAGAGTTTCCGTGCCAACATTTATAATGGTGACAAAAACCACAGCTACAATTTGTTGTATAGATACAATCCAGAACATCGGAAATACATTATAATCATATGGCAGCCATACTCTGTAAGGTAAGTGACCTTGCATAACGTTTAACACTGATCTTACTGTCACGCCTGTAACGGAACTCGTCGCTAAAAGTGAATATTTAATCGAGCATGACCTACAAATACAGAATTCCGATTTGGTGAACTTTCTTTTCTCAATATATAAAATTAAAATTTAACTATATATTTTCACTGTGCACAAAATTTTCACTTAATGACAAAATTTCGTTAATTTTGTAAAATATTTTTCTATAAAATATTTATTAATTTGATGCAAGGTACGAAGAAAACTAATATGACTTATTCATGAATGTAATATTTATACGATAATTCTCCAATGTGAGATTAACAAGATTCAACAAAGATATGTATTAGATGTACACGAATTGAATTATTGCATGAGCACTTGATAAATCATTGATACTTTATCGTTAAAGTGTTCTAATAATTATACATACCTGATAAATCTGTCAAACTTTCTTTGTATTGCTATTTCGTCCTCGTCTCGAGGTTTATACGGTTCTTTCAACAACGCTTGCATTAATTTGATAATTGCTTTCCGACGTGCTACAACGATAGTCCCTTTGCAACAAACGGCAACAATAGTCGGAAACATTAGAGCATTAGTAGCAAAATCGTCGAGATTATCGATAACAAGAACGATATCCGTGAATTGGGTTATCGCCAAAAAATATATTAGGGCTAATACAATAAAGGTAAATATGTTATACAACAGTTTAGCAATATTCGACGACCATTCGATAGGTCGCCATACACCACCGATGGTGAACATTTTAAAATTTAGAGAAAGAATTTGCATGTTTGTTATTACAAGCAACTTATCGAGACATTGTACAAAAAGATTTAAAAGAGTAGTTTAAAAACTACTCAAGTATTTTTTTTCAAATATAGCAATTAATTATTGGAAATTTAGTGCTCAAATATATGAATTGATTTTGAGAGAAATCAAATTTAATACAGAGTAGAAATATAATTCTGTAATAAACAAATCGTGCAATGAATAAATTCCCCGAACGATGTTTGCATCTCACATTTAGCGTCTAACTGTAACAAGTTTTATTTTACGCACACACAGCTATCGTATATAACGTTATCATTAATGGATCGCATGAGTGGGTAGAAGTCTCGGACGACCTTATTTCGCTATAATAAAATGTAAATACAAATTAAAAAATCGGTACAAGTATTTATCGTGCATTTTTCGAAATATTGCGTCTCACATTTTTAGCAATACCACAGAGAATTATCTAACTAGCGCGAGAATAACTCATTTCTTAGCGTTCCGTGAAGATAATCAAATTTCGACAGAATATATTCGAGCGCGTGTTGCAGGAGACTACGTATGAATTTACTCGCGTCATCTTCTTGACCCTACGCCATTATTCACTGTCATTAGCGACTTGACATATAGCGACTCCATTATAGTTTATTACGGCGAATGTTATTTTCCGTTTACGCGAATACTATAATGATGACTGTAGTGATGACTGTAAAGGTCGACTTACGTCTAACGATGAAACAAACGCATTTATCCTTGCATGCTGTCGTATTCCCATCAAATGATATGTTTATTCATTTTTATGTCGTCAAAAGTAATTCAATATAAGAAGATATTTGCCACAAGAGAAAAATATGAGCTATTATTTTTCTCCCTCGCTACATTTCTTTGCTAGTACAAAGTAGCGAGTATGTACAGAACAATTGGATTTTTTTCTCTTAAGTTATACGTTCTGTATGTCTGATCGGTAGGTATGACGAGTCTCAACGGTATACGTATTTAACTCTAGCTATTGTGTTTCATATACGATTCATGAGAAATAATTCTCTTTTTTTCTAGTGTATTAATTCTATTAATATTATTTGTGTATTAAATTGTGAAGCCTTGCATATCATTGTACATTTAACTTTGCATGTACTCCGCAACGTGCAGTAAGAAGTGTAACGCGTATTAACGACTGCACGCTGGTCGTTACAGAAGATATGAAATTGAAATTTTATATTATGTGATGAACGATTTATTCATGACAAGTTGCTGTATACATGGTGTATTGCGAGAGAATAAAGTTTTAATCCTGTTTCAACATGTTAAACGCAGAGTAAGACGCCTTCAAAAGCTGCAAGGTAAAATTAAAAAAAAATTTTATATTAATTAAGTATACTGTCTGAGGAGGTAGCTTCAATTCTGATACTGACGTTGCTATATGAGTTCAGAGACAATGTCACCAAGAAGCTGCTGGTAAACTTGATGGGTCTTGTGCTACGCATCATAATCATCAGTAGATCTTTCCGTTCGCTGATCGTCATAAATATCCAGTCCATTTCGTACACAGTATTACCTAAATCTGTACTCTGCACAAAGATTTTAAATTAGAAGTAAATTGTGTCATCGCAATATGATTTGCAAAAGTTTCAGCATGAATGCGCTTTGTATCGCTATCTTTTGTACGAATAGTTTCCTTTATATATACCTTAATTATAATTTCGTTTCCAGCCCAACAATAAACAAAAATCTGCAAGAACATTGCAATTGTGTAGACAACGAAGGTGGTCATTTCTGTGAGTTTTGTGTGAGAAGACAGATAGTACAGGCTCGAACACAACACCAGTATGCTGACGAAAAATTGAACAAAGATTACTTGGCTGAATGTGTCGTTGATCATTTCGGCAAGCCTGTAGATATTTTCACATTATATCGCAAATTAAATGCAATTAGAAAGTCATTAAGACCGCCTTGTATATCGAGCATTGGTCCATTATATTTAATAGAGAGATGCGCACATAAAATAACGTTACCATCTACTTGACGAACCTGACTATACACAAATGATGTGAAATGTGTTCCGACAATCTGTCCGACTTACTCGGCGCACCGTTCAATAAACTTTCGGCAATGTTTTTCTTCACGCTAGATTTCACCACTCTTTGAAGACGATATGACAGTATCTCGAATTGCGCGCATATTTGCAAGCAAAGCCCTAACACAATGGTATCCGTAGCGACGTTCATAATTGTTCCGAAAATTATAGCTAGAATCCCTTGAAGAGACGTAAACCAGAACAGAAAAAGCGAAGTGCAATCCCAAGGTACCCATCCTCTATAAGGTAATCGGCCTTCTAAAGTTTCGAGCACTCCTCCTGCCACAGCGCCCATCATAGAAAACGCGCACAAAAGCAAATAACTTATAGAAAGTGATCTGCGTACAATTCAGAAACATATAACAAGATATGCAATCAGCATATAATAAAAATAGACAAGAGCTGCTTAGCGAAAACAGACTTGTGTGCATTAATAAATCCAGCTTTTTTCAGAACTTAACAAAACTAACTTGGTTCAATTTAATTAAGCAATTCTAATTTATCAACTTACTAAGATTGACAACGATCGAACACACCAACCTGATTGTACGATCGAATTTCATCTGAATATCAATCTCTTCTTTGTTGCAGGCTTTGTGAGGTTTAGCTTGTATTATCTGGAGCACGTTGATAATGTCGTCGCGGCGAATCGCAGCGACAAATACTTTGCACACTACACTGATGAGCGAAATGCACGTTAAGGAATTTGTTATAATGTCATCCACGTTATCAATGATGAGGATGATCTCCAGCAACTGACTTAGCATCAGAAAAAGCATCAGATACAATGTGCAGACAGTAAATATGCCATACAGCAGCTTGGAGCATCTCGAAGACCATTCGATTGGCCGCCACAAACCGCCGATGGTGTACAGTGAAAAATTGAGGGAAAGTATCTGCATTTCTACGATTACTAATTAAACGTCAATTTTTTAAAATTTTTCTAAATTTTTCAAAATTTTTACTCAATATGTTTAAAAGCTGCAGGGAAGAGATACAGCAGCGCCTCGAGTCAAGTGTAACAATCGCACTATAGACGCTGCAACATATTTTTTTATAAAAAGTTATTTTTCGTACAACTGATTATATAACTCTCTTTAATTGAAATTGTTTTTCGAAAGTATATTAATAGAGCTATTTTTTGCATACGTTTTTTTTTGCATAGAACAATCTTGTATGAGTCTTGTGCAGCAGTCTTGTGTAATCTTACGGTTCAGTGTCTCTGGCTAAATAAAATTATTTATATGTATCGGTAAAAATAACTAATGCAGAGTAATACGCATGCGATAGAAGTTCGTATGGCACTACGAGTAAGTGCCTTCGCGGTCAACTTTCCCCGCGGTTGAAAATTAATGATTCATTAATAACTTGATGTAGCGGTGTCTGTCGATACTCACTCGTGTACCAAAGATGTAATTATAACCGTGTTGTCGTTTCGTACAATTGAGAGTGTCTCCGGTGAATTCTAACATATTGTCGCGTTCCCAGGAAATGAAATATACATGCATGTAAACGCCTGTATCGCGAAATTCCCGCAAATAACAGCACTAACGAGGTCTTCATTAAATCGGCGACCTTTTTTCTTTAACTGCATAATTGCGTACTTTTTTTTTTTTTTTTT